GATAACAACACCTGCAACATGCCACAGACTTGTTCGCGCTGCCTGGCCAAGCATGCAAGACTGCATACCAGCACCTTTTGGCTCAGTTTATTGTGTGTGGCACTAAACAAGAACGGATCCTAGTTATTCCTGTCCATGCAACGATCCGTGCATGTTGTAGGCCAGGCCTATTGTTTGTCCAGACTTGGCCATGTTCGTTAAGTGGAACTGGAGAGTGCACCAGGCAGCCGTCGGACTTGGAACACGAGTCGTTGCTCAGTAATTACCAGCAGATGCAGCTGTGGCAAGGACATGCCAAGGATGTGAGTGTCTGTCGACGAAGTAAATAAAACTGTGCAGACAATTAAGTTTGTTTTGCCCAGCATATTTTCTTTACCATCCAACCAGAGTAATTTGACGTTACGTTTATGCTCGGAGTAGGTGTTGCAGCCAGTCTCGATTCTTATGTCAGAGTCCGTTCTGTTCTGGACTGGTTGAGGTTTCGTTCAGGTTTGGCCAAGAAATTGCACTAATTGATGTTAAAAGGTTTTTGCTGGTCAAGTTTGGGTTTTTATTTGCATGGCTTTGTCGGTGAGTAAATTTCATTTCAAGTCTATAAAGCATGTCGTCGTTTAATTGGAGGTGTGCAAAGCTGGGGTAAACGGAATTTCATAAATATGTTGTGTACTAAAACCTAAAAAAATATTGATAAACGAGGATAAGCAAAATTTATACACAATCTTAAAAGTATCCAAATTGAATAAATTTAATTTGTTACCATTAAGCGAGAAATGTTTGGACTGCTCTTATTCACTTCAGCTGATGTATAGACCTACTCCAAACCTGGACGATTTAGGTCCAGATGGGCGTCAGAAGCGTCTTCGTGGAGAATTGGAGCTTTATATGTGGTTTCAATAGTCAGTCGAACTCTGGTTACTGTGATGTGTTACCCCCGGTCTAAACGTTCGATTGAAGATAAAATAACAAAACTTGAATTTACATTTGTCAACTATGAAGTGTGTGAGGCTGGCCTTTATTTGCAGACACCAAATAACCTGCTTAATACAAGTGTGGACTTAAAAGATAATAGTGTATCCTCATAAAAGCTGGCCTTAAGAGATTCTTCACTTCAATCCTAAAATTAAATTGTCAAACTTAGGCTTAAAGCTTAATTAAAACCAAATCAATCTCTCATCAAACTATCATCTCTTAGACTGCTGTCATTAAGTCAATGTCTAACTGCCTGTCGAGAACCTATTTTTGCATCTCATTATTTGCATTACAGCGGCTGGTAATTGCAATCCATGTGTGAAAATAACAATTTTAAAGTCTGCTTTTAAGCTGTGTAATTATTAATTATTTAAAAAAAGTTTTCAACATGCACTTGCCAGGCACATTTAATGGACTTTAATTAAAAAAGGCGATGTAACTTTGCAGACATTTGCATATTTGCCATACTTAATATGAATTTAAGCCCAGCCCAACCTGGCCAACTATTAACCATTATGCACTCTTCCTTAACTACAAAAACTTCGGTCGAAAGCCAACCACTTAAGCTCATTTTAATTTAACTTTTTTTTTCCAAAGCACTAGCTACACACACATATGTGTGCGTGTGTGTGCTCGTGTGCATATTTGTTAAAATTTACCTACATACACATATATCATCGGGCAGACAGCAGACCTCTTCTGCTCGCCCTTATCCTATAGGTCCCCTCCACGTAAATAATTTCATACATTTTGTTTGGCGCTTCTTTAGCTTCTCTCTCGTGTTTCCTTTTATACTCTGTTAACAAAGTGAAAACGGGTATATTGGTTTTGTGTAATGTTCGTGTAGCTAACCATTCGTCCATATATTTTCTCCTCTTGAAGCTGGATACATTACACTTGGAGTGCAACCACGCCCATTTTGAACCCAAAAGTTAAAATCTATAGACAGATTTAAACTAGGGTCGCATAATAAGAAAAGCTGTTTTTAATCAATGTAAAAGGTAATTTGACTGCAAACAGAGTATGGCACAGTCGGCTATACCCTACTGCCAGATTCTTACATTTTTTTTGCGTGTGTCTCAAAGGGTTTTGCATTTTGTGTGTGCTAGGTGTTGGTTGTGTGCCCCAAGCAAAGGCTGCATATGAAAATATTTGTTAAACCTTTTGCAATAAGCAACAATTTATGCGAGTGCTGTGAATTTATGCTGAATATGTGTGTTTGAGGGCACCTTGAGGTCGCGCTGTAAATATTTAAAACTCATTTTGGTATATTTTAATTTTATAGCCTGGGTGGAAAAGTGAGAGGTGGTTGGAGAGTTGCTCCGAGATTTTAATCTGACCAGAGGGCAAAGCCTAGTAAAGAAGATGAAACCTTAATAAGAAGCATAGAAATAAATAAGTGTGGTCGAAATAATTTTAAGGTTTAAGTTTTTCATATACATGTACATATATATATGTGTGTTGTGTTAAACATATTTATATGTATTTATATGATTATAATAATTAAGGTATTATATGTTTTATGGCCATCATCAAATATGAAAAAAACACACAGCATAAAAGTTGCATGTTGCAATTTAAGTTTGTAAAATTTCAGAGAGAGAGAGAGAGAGTATTGTATTCGGAGAGAGTAGAGTATCTTTACATGATTTCTGGTTTAGTTAATATAAATCGTTTTAAGCAATTATTTAGTTTGTCTTGTCCTATTCCTTTAATTTGTATTGTTTTTACACTCTTGACTTTGCAACACTGTAGAAATTGCTTAGCTGCACTTCACAACACTGCCAACCCTCTCCAAGTGCGTGCTTCGTATTAACATGCCCAGCACTTGACCAGCCCTTGGGCTGCTGTTCATTAAGAATGCGCTTCCAGAAAGCAATAATAATCAGGCGAAGCTGTGGTGGCAGCTGAGTGGGTCTGCCCACGCGCACAGCTGACGGGAGAGCAGACCGCAGGAGCGCAGGAGTACAGGGCGGGAGCGGGAGCGACCTCAAGACCCAGCAAAAGAGGCGTCTCAAAAGGTAAAAACATTGAAAACTTTTAATATTCACTCTTGTAGCTGAATAAATTAAGGCACTCGAATGGCACAATGTAGTGAAGGCAACTCCGGAGGTGTGGGTCTCGCTGGCGTTGGCTGCAAAATGCAAAAGCCAAACAACAACAACAACGAATGTTGCGGGCAGCAGCAGCAGCAGCAACAGATAAAAGGGTCTGCGCAACAGCGAAACCAATGAAAGGCACTCAACTGAAGAGGCCGCCAGCCCAAAAAGTGACTCACAGCGAGCCAAAATGCAAAAGGATGCACGGAAACGGAGAGATTGACTACAACTTGTGGCGCCTTTGTAGCAGACTTGGTTCTCGTTGTTGTTGAGCTTATGCTCGATTACAAAGTGAAAACGGGTATACTGGCTAGGGCTGTCAATTCGTTCGTTTGTCCATGTGAACAGAGATATTTGTGTGGAGAACAACTTTTGGAGGTTAGAGATTCGAAACTTGACATAAATACTCGTGTAAGATCGAGATATATATTATATATAAGTCTATATCTTCTATTCTGTATATCTTCTAGAACTTAAGAGCTAAAGTATGCTGATTTGGTATGCAGGATCAAGTTAGAAAAAGTGGGAAATCGGAAAATGTATATCTTCCATGCAGCTGAAAAAATATTACAAAAGAGCTTAAATATTTTACCTTCTCACTCCCGATTCTAGAATTGATATGTGTTTATACTTTTATGTTTTCAGCTGTTTTCGGACTGCGAGCGAGTATTACGCAGTCGGTAGCATTCGAAGGCAACATTCTTACTTGTTGTTGTTGCTTTTGTTGTGGCTGTTTGTTATTGCACTTTTGCAGTGTCCAGGCTTCGCCTTTGCGCCAGGGCACCACTCAGCTCACTTCAATGAATACTTTATGGGTTAATAATCGTAAAACCATTCAACAGCAACAGCAGCACCACCAATGCCAGCCAAGGCGGCAACATCGTTTGGGCCAACTTTTGTGAGCGAAAATTCATAAACAATGTGCATAAAGCGCAAAATGTAGCGCTTCTGCGGGCTGACCCCAAGGGGAACTTTATAGGTATGCGTTATGTGTGATGTGGCTGGCTGGTCGTATGTGTCTGTTTATATATGTGTGTGTGGGTGTGTGGGTGGGTGAGCTGAAGATGGGTGTGCGACTACGTCGATTGCTTGTCGCATTGCACTGGCAAATTGTTCACCAGCTGCTGCTGTTGCTGTTGTTATTGTTGTTCTGCTGTCAAGAGTGGAGTTTGGCAACAATAGCAAAAGGCAGCTGTTGTTTTGAATTCTGGACAGCTGGGGGGGTTGAGTTAGAGACGGGGGCTAGCTCAATGGGACTTCCAGTTGAGCAACGCTTAGCGAGTAGTTTGACGTTGATTTTGTGTTTGAGGTGTTGTCATTGTTGATGTTATTGGTCGTTGTTGCCGTTTGTTGTTCCAGCGCGGATTATAAAGTGGAAGTGCGTTTAAATGGTGCGAGAGGATTATACATGAAAGAGCGGAAAAGAATTTTCATCTTTTTACCATACGATCTATTCTTTTCTGGCCAATGGCATTCATAACATGACGTATCGATACCAAAAGAAAGGCAGTGTTGGCAACGACAAACTGGCAGATGGAGCGTAGTGCTGGGCAACAAACTAAAAATTTAATTGAACGCCGTCAGGAAACCTTAAATTTCGCCTTTAAGCTGAAAAGCTAGAAGAGAGAAGAGTTATGGCTTTTAGGATGGCAGCGAATGAACTATGTTAAGGAAATAATAAAAGGGCTAAGGATTATATATATTGTTTGACCCGACTGGCTGATTGATTGGTATTCTACGAACAGCCCAAATCATAAAAGCTGTGACAATGGCGTACGCTAAGGTGGGGCTTTGAAAAGTTCCATCCGTAGTTATTTTGTTTATCATCTGGTCGGCACCAAACTCATCATCCCGTGAAACGTATTTCTGCATAGAGATTCATTTTCCTGCGTTCGGCTTCAAATTATGTTTTTCTATTATAAAATATTATTATTAAAATATTAAACACGTCTTTCATCAACTTTATTAAGTCCACATCACGGACGGAAAACTGTTGATTGTGTATTTTGTATATTCGTTTGATGCCTGAAAGAAGCTCAAAGAGTTGGATTTGAATGCATAATAAAGAACTTATTTACTGGACATTCTATCTGATGGTGGAATCCGCATGAAAGGAATCCGCATTTAAAATTGACCGACATATTAAACTGGGGTTCATTTTTGATCTGTTTGCCAGTTTCCTACCCCATTCTTGGTAGCCACAGTCGAGTGTACTGCGAAGCGTAAAAAAGCCATTCGATGTACTTAAAATCTGACCTAGGAACAACCTCAGCAAAAAAGCTTCAGCTGAACAAAAAAAAGTGCACACAAATCTTCCATCGTTTTGCGTAAATAGAATTTATCAAATTTAATTTCACGCTCCATGCGCTCATTTCTATTTAACTTTGAGTGGCGCCCGTCGCATAAAAAAAAAATAGAAAATAGAAAAAAGGCCAATGAATGTCAAAAATTGTGACCATAAATGACATGCCCCCTGGCAAGTGTCGGCGGCAATGAGCACAATAAATCTAAGGGCAAGAGATGGAGATGGCCAATGATAGTCCGAAAAAATGGAAGAACGAAAAAAGTTTCTGGCTTGGAATAATAGTGACATCTGAATTATAGAGCAGAAATCAAATGATAAAGGTTGCAATTGAAAAAGGAATCAGAATTGGGATTGAGATTGGAATTGGATGTGGGAGGCAGAATATAAGACCAAGCTTATGTTATGAAATGCTTCAGTGCGGCTCTGAATGGGGGCTGTGCAAATATTTGGGCACATGTCCCATTGCTGGGCCAGTCCATATCGCAGGGCCCAACTTGAGAGTCACATAACATAAACCCAAGTCATATTTTGCATATGCCTACCCTGCTGTAAAAACATGTCAAGAGGCAGATACACACACAGCAACAACAACAACAACAACAATACGAAAGGAAAACAAAACATTTTCGTGTCAAGTGTTGTCGGGAAGCTGTTTTTCAGCTTGACTTGCTTTTTGACTAGGGTAACCCAACTCCGTAACGCCCTCCAACCACAATCATAATCAAAAATGTATTTAATTTGCTTTTATTTTCTTCGCCCTGTTCTGCTCTGCTCTGTTCTGTTTAAACTTTTGGCGGTTCGCACATAAATTTTTGATATATGTGTCATGCATAGTGATATGGTGTGGAAAATTACTTTGTATTTTAATGAGTTGTCTGCGATTTTTGGGCGCTGGCAAAGTTGGTAAAGTATCAACTTTACTTTACGGCCCTGCGCTTTTCACAGCGTGTGCAAGTGCGTGTGCATTGTGTGTGATATGTGTCTGTGGGTAACCTAATGGGTTGTTATAATCGCACGATAAGAATTCAACGGAAACTATTAGAATGACAATAGATTAATAGCTGTAGCCATAAATAAAATAGAAATGTGGCTTTGTGGTTGGCTTAATATGGCCGTTGACACGCCTTGAAGATATGAGAGAAAAACTAATTTGCGGCCAATGTGTCCTATTTCTGATTATGATAAGTTAAGCGTGGAAAAACTTGGTCAGTGATAAATATTTGCATAGAAACAGACGAATGTAGACAAGGCTATAACTACTCGGCGGTTGATATTGATTAAGACTATATACAATTCGTGGGATTAGAAACTTCTCATTGGCATAATTATAATACAAAGGCACAAAAATATGTTTTCTTCGCAATAAAGAAACCTTTCCTGGCATTATTTTCTTTTATGTCCAAACACTTACCCGTTGGGGCAACCCACAGCGTTGTGCAATAAACTTAAATTAAAACATTTACACCTTCTCCCAACCAAAGAACTCAATTCGCCCGCGGACCTAAAACAATAGATTCCCCATTTATCTATGGCAATGATCTGCAGTAGCCAAAGCCGCCGCATTAGAAAAGTTCTGTTCTTTCTGTAATCGAAACGCCCTCAAGGAAAAGCGTTTAATATGCCAGTGTTTATTGGAATTACGACAACTTGTAGGCCGGGATTTTTCCCCGGCTGACCGAATTGGCAACACGTTGCAGGCGACATTCGCAGTGGCGAGCCAAAACTTGCGCCAGTCCAGTGCCAAGTGCAGCGAGGCATAGCTTTTTTAATAGAGTCATAACTTGGCTTCAACTAATGGGCTCGCAGAGGAACTGAACGGCCCGCCAGACTTTGCTAAGCAATAACATAAAGCCCTCGTTTTGCCTCTGTCTCGTTTCTCTCTTCGGGTTTTTTTCTAATTTTTTTTTGCAGGCTGCCTTTTTGTGGGCACGACTTTGGTTACAATTCAATTTGCAGTGGACGCTTTTCTTTGGCCGTTTTTTAGTGGTTTGCGGCCTTAAAATTTGTGCCCTGTTCGTTGTACCCAGCTGCCACCTGGCTGGAGTGTCGTAAATGTGTGGAAATTGTGGGGTGCTATGCCTGCCAGATACGTGTACGACGGGCGGTCCTTGCTGCAGTCTGTGGCATGTGGCCAGCTTTGGGCTGGCACTGGGTAGCCGTTGTTTTATTATCTGCAACCCTGGCGGGGGACACTCATAATTGTCTTGGGCAAATGTTCGTGTAAAATTTTAATTGCTTTTTAGTGCAAACACTTGGAAAATTTGTAGTTTTCGTTGTCTAACAAGATCTGAGCAACAGGCCAAATGTCAAACATGTTACCTGACACTGATTGGAAATAACAGAATATGTGAAAAAGCCGAAACAGTTTGATGGCACTTGCCAGATAATTGCCCCATATTAAATACCTTCTCAGATATATGACAGTTACTTGTATATAGTAAATATCGAATCGCTTTGCCTATTTTATAGTCTATAGTAGAGTATTATATTATTAATCAATTTAGTTGCAATCCAAATCATTTTGTGAAGCAACTAGGAATGGACTTTTCGACCTATGTTTAAGAATGCGTCTTCTAAGTCCAATGGCTACACTTTAAAATCATAGTTAGTTAAGCTTGAAGCTGTAGCTTTGTTACCATAATTTAAAGCCGGAACTTACTCTTTGTCACTTGCACTTTAATTAAGGCCTCATAACTCACAGTTGGCCACAAAAGTAGTCGCTCCATCAACCATTTAGTAAAGAAAACTTTACGTACCCAGCCCCTCAAATGGCGGGCCTGATGCGACCTAACCGCAACCACAACGACGACCACGCCCCATTTAGATAGGCGACAAGTTCACCTTTTAATGAGGCAAAGAGTTGATGCCACATAACGAGGCCATTATATGCCATTGTGTGGGCCGGGCCTGGAGTTTGTAGCACGCATCGCAATGCGCCAAACTGGGCGCAATAAACAGGCGGCGGGACGTGCGGCAGGATCGCGGTTTAGTAAGTGCTAAGCAACCGGTAAATACAATGCCGCCATCGCAAAGCTTTATTGTTATTTTAATTAGAAAACTTAATGTCAGCTGCGGCCCAACTTTCAGTGGCGACTTCAATTAGTGCTTTAATTGATTTAAGACTTTGGCCGGTCGAGCAGCTGCAAGCTATGTAACACATTTTTATAAAGCATTCAATATCAGGAACGTTATGATACAAGGGAGAAGCTTTATCGCTAAAAAATAAAAAAGAATATATAGATATTTATATATGTATATATAAAACTGTTGTTAAAAACAAGAGAAATTCAGACGGACCACAGAAATTTGTTCGTTGCGAGCAAAGCATGCATGTAACAGAAAAAAAAGAAGAAACTCCCAAAAGTATGCAACACTCCCGAACAAGCGCACCACCACAACAACAATCAGGCACTCTTACACACACACACACACACACACACACACTAGCCAGGTGTTGGTGCAAGCGCAGACAGAAGACGGACGTAGAGCGAACGAGGGCAACAAGACAAACCGCAAGCTTGGGCAGCTCGTTGCAAAAGTAGCATTTTATTTTTTCCATAGTTTGAGTTGGATGTGTTGGCCGGATCGTCCTATATGCGAAATTGTTTTATAGCTGCCCAGGACCGGTCAGTCCGTGACATGCAACAACAATAGCAATAGCACAAAACACAGAAATAAAACGAATCGTTTGTACCCTTTATACAGTTCCAAGTCAATCGACAGTTCAACTAAACTGTTCCATTGTTGGGTAAGTAAATATACTAATGGGTAGTTAAACTCGAATTAAACTTAAATACCACATTACATTACCACAATTAATTAATGCTTAACTTCCTCTTTGTTTCAAACCTTTGAAAAAAAGGAGAATATTGTATGAACTGTTTTTTTTCCTGATTTTCTTAAGCCAGGTTGTAGTCCGGCTTTAAAGTGAACCAGTTTATTACTATTGGTTTTCCTTCAGTGAAGCTTTAACCAAGACAGTTTCCTAAAATACAGTGAAAACAAAATCCAAACCAAGCCCAATTTTTATTTACACAATTTTTAAGCGATATTCAGCCCGATTGCATGAGTAATTTGGGTCCCAATAACGTAGTTGGTTTAAATAAAACCAGCCCTTTTCGAGGTCCAATGATGCTTAGCCTAACATATTTATTTATGAGTGAAATTCTCTAATCAAAACTTACACAATTATTATTATTTTTGTACAATATCATCTTTTATTTTAAAAGCTTTGTTTTACGATGGATTCTTAATATATATTAAAAAATTCAAATCTCTATTCAAATCCAAATTAAAATATTTGAGCACCACAAAGCTTATCACATAGTTAAAATACCATTTAAAGGGCAGCTAAATCGGCGCTGAGTTTGTTTATGACCAGCTCGCTGGACTGAAACGGATGTGCCTTTAAGTTGTATATCCGTTAGCCCAAACTGTAAGTGTGTGTGTGTGTGTGTGTTTTCTATGGGAAGTTTTTGAGCATGCAGTTTCATGTTGAAGCGTTTAACAAAGCATCGTAAATTGCATCAGGCGAGCAGTTAGAGAGCCCCAAAAACCTTAACCCGAACTCTTAACGTATATGTTGCAACATGAGCCCGAGCTGAGCCAGGGTAGAGCATTTTATTGAGGTTTTCTTGGCTCTTTTTTCCTTTATTATGTTACTTTTATTGCCCATCCATAGATAGCCTATGGTTTTAACCTGCTGTGAAATTAGATTACTTTGGGGCTCTGGTATTTCGATAGCTGCAAATGTGTAAATATGACAAAAGAATTCCTGACAATGCCCTTTGGATGCAGTTGGGGCTATAAGTTGCACTAAGAAATTAAATTCGGTTTGGTGTCTGGGGGAAAAGTGATTAATGTGGACATGGGTGAGTATTTTAGAGATACAATTCCAAATATTTTAGTTTCGTTACATTCCATATCCGACCGAACCATCTTGCTAAGCTCAATAAGTAAGTAATTATAAACGCAATGCAAACATTAAAATCGATAGATAGATACTAGGCAGGCATCATGAGACGGCTCACCTTGATAGAGTCATCAGCATGTTACCGGTTTCTATAGTTTATCGAAACGCATGCGCCGCAAACTTTAATTAAAGTCACGAGGGGAAACTTTTTAATTACAATTCAGGCTGGGCAACTGCATTTGATTGCGCGATAGGCGTTGCTGTGTAAATAGCCGTTCGGAGGCTGCAACTAGCCGCGGATGGTTTATCAGCTGGCACGCCCCCTACCCAAAGTGGGCGTGTGGTCATTTCTTGCGCCGAGTGCAAATTGCAATTGGCTGGCGCACTCTCTGTGCAAATAAGCAATTATTTGGCTTAATAAGTCAATGGGCCGGCAACCGGTTGGCATATCTCATCGCCCTGACGCCTGACTGTTGATTGGTGCCTGCCTAATAGAATTTTCCAGCTCCCCGCTTGCCCTGGCCAAGCAGCAGCTGGGTAACTTTGCTAAATAGTCCGCATAAAAGTTGCGCGCAACAAAGTTGAAGGCACAAAGTAAATGAAGCCTCAATTTAAAATTAAGCTCATGAAAAGTAGTTAACCTCACGCGGGCTGCGGCCAAAGCCACCCTAAAAGCCAGACCCAAAGCCAAAGCCGTTAACTACAGCACAAAGTCAACGACGGCAGCGCTGACGGAGCTGGCTGGGGTTGGCGAGGATTGGCCCTTGTTCGCATTAAAGTAAGCATGAAATTAAAGCTAACCCCAAAGGCGACTTGCAAATAAACTGCAGCCTCCTCGGCTGCGGGGAGCGCAATGCTGTGGGGCAAGGCAAGGCAGAAGGAAGGAGTGGGGTTCTGCAATGTTGTTGCATCAAATTAGCAGCCATGTCGAATAAAAAGAAGCGCGAATTTTTGTTGTGCTTTGGCAAACGGAAACAAAAGAATAAGAAACAACGACGAACGAGTTTTGGTTCGTACACTGACAGCAATTTTTGACCGAAAATACATAAAGTAAATTGGGTCATAATTTATATAACTTTCTTTTTGAAGCAAATTTATATTGCAACAACAGACTCTAAGTCATTAATGGGTCAGTTAAAAAGTATTACTGGAGTAAAATTTGCATTATTACAATTATTTATAATGCTAGGTTTTCATTAATTAATTATTATACACTTATATAAAACTATTTGTCCTGACTGAGAGTGTTTTCAGTAATATTAAAACAAAACTTCATTGTGGAATTGGCGTTACGTTAACATTTTATTTATTGCTACTACCTGAAAGCAATCGCTTTTTTCCATCGAATCCTTAAATCTTACTAAGTTCCATATATCTAAATCAAGTGTTATAAATCGCAACCTATATTTCCCACAGCAACTCTTAATATTTATCTTATATATTTGAAGCTGAGCCATTACCTAAAATTCTTAACACACTCGCTAGCTGCACTTATTTGTTTGGTCTTTAATTTGTTTGGCAGCATTTCACAGACCCCACAAAAAATACCTTCGCTTCCGTTTCCACTTCCTACCATTCGTTTTCTCAGCATCTTTTGCGCTTGCGTTTTTCTTTCTTTATTTTTTTTACGATAGCTCCAATATTACAACACCCAAAGGTGTAATTGAATCAAATGAGCAAAAATTTCAGATTACTTGAAAATGTTGAGCGCCAAGACACGAACTCATTTCGCATGGGGCAATCAGCGGCAGACGACGGGCGCGATTCAGGACGGAGGGTCGAGGCGAATTGGAGCCGTTTAAATGCAGTCGGAAGCTTAAGTTGTTATAGGGGTTGTTGTAAATGGGCAACCACTCTCTGTATCCTCGTACCAAAGGCTAAGCCTGCTATGGGCAAAGTAAGATCAAGCCCCTATCTAGATACCTTAGCTACATAGTAAGGGTATGTCATAGTCAGGAAATCAACTCAGACATGCCTTTTTGCTAAATGTTTAACTATAACTTTAAGCATCAGCTGTCAAGTGTCTGGGAGCTTTAAGGGTTGCATTTATGTTAATAATTGAAATTACAAATGAGCTACAAGTGTGAATATTTGAATGTGGCAGCTGCAATCAGTGAAAGTGCTCACCACAGGCGCCTGCCACATCCGGTGCGATTCGGAAACGGAAGTGCAGAGCGCCAAATGCGTAGACGGAGATAGAGGCAAACGAAAATACTTTTCACGCACATATGCACACAATAATGCCCAAACAAATATTTAGAGACAGAATTATGAATGGCAAAGACAACAACGCGACTTTGAAGTGAAGCCGAAAAAGAGGAAGTCTACGAAAAAATTGCTACAAAATGGCGTTTAAGCTGCTTTTGCTGAGGACTCACGGCTGCCATTGGGTGGCATGTGGCAAGTTGCAAGTGGCAGGGGTAGGTAGCGTCAGTCTGGTGATTTATGTGCACTGTTGAAGGTTCAAATAAGCGTTAAGTTTTCATTTCCGTTGGCGCCGCTGCGAGAGGACCAGGAACAGTTACAGCAAGACCAAAGTGAAATATCTGCACAAAAATGAAACTGAAAAGAAATATTGTTTTTGTTTTTTACATTTTTTTTTGACTGCTCTGGGTCTGTCTACGAGCGGGCAGCAGCCAACAAAGCGCCACATTATTACAAAACAAATTAAGAGAAATGTTAAAACAAAGCAGTTGAAGTTCAAGCGGATTTCATGGCGAGGGCTTCCGTATTTGGCATCTAGAAAATATATTGCAAAAATATTTCTTAAAACAGGTACAACAAAATAAAGTCGAATGAAATGCTTAGGTAATAAGCTTTGCAGCTGTAGGGTTTAATGTTCGCGTAAATATTAAGGAAAAATGTTTGACTAAATATTCGTGAATTTTAAACAATAATTTCTACTTTCATTACGCTAGCAAGAAAATTATTCGTTCTGCCATTTACAATTGGGAGTAGTAATAAAAGCAATGTAATAAATAAAAAGCAAAAATTTCCCATTAAAATATTTCTGGAAGTGCAAAATAAGTTGCCAACTTAATGCAAATGCCCCAAGCCCAAGCTGCAATCCGTTTGGCTTTACCCCAATAGAAACCTTCTCCAAACGTTAATCAATGTTGATATGCGCAGCATTATGCTCTAGACAGACAGAGGCACACAAGTGTACTTAACTTCCATTTTATTTATTGCGTTTGCAAATATTTTGTGAATGATTTTCTTCTTCTCCTGGCATTATTCAAGGAAGCGTGGCGCACAATGCGGCGTATGCGCAATATATTAAACATAACAACGGCAATTAATTTGTGCACTGCCTTCAAGCTTGTTAAAAAATAAACTTTTATAAATCAAACGTAACGAGCGTGTAGCAAAACGGACAGGTATAGCTAAAACAAACCAACTCCCTGTGTTAACCTTCGCATTGGGGTTGCTTTTCATTAGGTGGTGGCATTTTTACAGCTTACAGCCCTCCCCGTCTGCTCGGCAACTTTTCAAATAAAACTCAATGGAGAAATATTTACAATTGGGCGCCACATTTTTGTTTGGCAGTCGTGACTTTGGCTTTGTTTCACTTTTTTGGTTCCACGTGGCGTATGAGTTATTTATTTTTGAGTTATTGGCATTTGAAACTTGGATACGAAACAGGGAGTGAAACAGAAACTCGAGTGGTAATCCCTGTTCAAATTTTGTCTGAGACTGTGCATCCGCAGTCTAAGCGGCAGAATACAATCGTTAATGAACTGGTAGAGAGCTGAGTATTCTGCTCAGCAATCTTCATTACGAAAATATTGCATAACCGAGAAAATAACGGTATCTTTGGTACGCCAAAGACTTAAGACCTTTGTAGATATTTCCCCTTTGCAAATATGCGAGAGCAATAAAGCTCGTTAATGACGAGTTTGATGAACATATTTACAGAATATTTTCGTACGGCAGCTATAAAATATAGTTGTCCGACCCTATCCGACATATGTACTACCTGCAACAGTTCGATCTAACTCACTATTAATATTTTTATTTATTTAATTGGTTTTATAATATTTTATATCATATTGTATGAGAATTAGTGAATATGATATCATGGAGCCGAGCATTGCTATCGCATTACGACGATCCAGATTAAATAGACCCATTACTGAGAGTTTTAGAGGATTGCGTATTAGCTCTATTTGAAAGCTCTCAAACTGAAAGCAGTTAGACATAACTTTTGAGGGTTATAGAATAGAATGTTACTCACTGCAATCACGAGGCGCTCATCGAGAGACTGCCCAAATGTTGAATATTGCGCGACAAGCTGCACGGTTTCAGCATGCCTGTCCTGTACATAGCTTGTAATAGAGTGTGTTACATGGGAATCCACGATGTAGCTAATGACACCGCACAGGACTAACAGATTATACCAGCTGGACCAGTTGATGTTCAATATGCCGTATTTAAAGGCAGAGAAGCTGTAGTAAACACCAGAAATCATAGTTATGGTAAATATTATGCACATGCAAAGTGTCTGCAATCCAAAGATTTTCGTCATGCGCTCTACAAGGTTCTGCAACTGGGACTGAAATCTGGCCAGACTGTACAAGCGAGTGGCCAGTGCAAGGCTTTTGACCTGTCTTAACCTTTGGCAATGATCCATCTCCAGCAAGTGTGTTTCAGCCACAATCGAACGCAGATCCTGATTGATGAGAAGGTAGTTTCCGTGAACATTTAGCAAAGCAAAATAAAATTGGGCTAGAATAAAATTTAGCAGCCCCATCAGCACATAAAGTGGGAATGCGCTCACAGCCAATCTGGGTGTGAGGCTATCGTGCAGTCCATACAATCCCAATGCCATGTGAATGACCTCTGTGAGCGTGCCGCTGATGACCTTGAGGATGACGCCATTTCGCGTCAATCGCATCAACTGCGGTTGCCTTACGGACAAACGATGATAGCTGCATACCAAATCCACGATTCGCTGGCGCTGCCACCAGCGGCTCAATATAGTCACAAACACACAGCTGATGCGCATGCACATCATCACAAGGAACACGTACTCATGAAGGCGATTCGCTTGCACCAAGAACACCTTCCAAATCTGACTGGTTATCAGAAGCGGCACCATGCCAAAGATCAACGTATTAACTATCGCAGCATAGATCGTCGCCTTTCTGCTTATCCACGCTTTACCCGTCTCCATGTCGATCTCAAAGTTGATAACTCCAATGAAGCGTCCATAGAAGTAGTTCAAGCGTAGCAGAAACATGCCTGGGTCAAACATACCGAACGACTGAATTGCTCTTCACTTGTGTAACATTTCAATTGCCAATGGAAAAGCGTGTAGTCCGATGAGATTAATGGATAAAGCGATGGGTTCTAATGATCTGATTGCCAATGGGGAGCATTAGGTTGGATATCGTTCCTTCAGGTGACGTAGGTGCATTAAGCAATAGCTTTTCATGGTAATTTCATAATAATTAATTATATGTAATTAATAAATGTAATGTAATTGAAAGCACTTCCGCAATAGAGTAAAGCGAACGAATTTCATTCTCTGTTCGGAATTTAGTGAGTGTATATACATATATACATATATATATATATATATTTTTACCCATATTTTTACAAATTCTTTTAATATTGTCTGACAGCGTGAGGATCGGGGATTCATAGTAACAATAGCTTTGGTATATATAATATATAAAAAAATTTTAATAAGTTTAACAAAGTTACTAACAAAGCAGTGTAAGTGGAGGGAGATTCTAGACTATTTGTAAAGGTGTCTTGGCGCGAGGAACGACTAGACCACTTTTTCTTTTTTTTTTTTATTCGATGTTTCGGTTTTGTTTTTTTACGGTCGAGCGCTCTTAATGTGTGCACTCTTGTTCGTTCTAATTCCATTCAACTGACAACTAAAATATTATCAAGGCAAAGAACATGCATTTGATATATCAGTTTTTGGCATAATGCAAACATAAGCCAATTAGTCAAACAAATCGCATATGTTTTGCCGATGACGAGGCGTTGTGGGCATAGCTTTATTCGTTTATCGCGCCAAATGCAATCCAGGCAGCTTTTTGTTTTTAGAGCTCTCGATTTGCGTTTAAGTGGATCGAACCGGCAAAAACACATGCGGGCTGCCCAAACAAAAGGCATTCAATTAAAATTTGCGCTGTTTGCTGCCCATAGCGAAACATTTAATACAATTTACGCAATTAATTTCGGTGCAGAATGCAAACAGCAGCAAATCATTGAGAGGCGAACGCAAAATGGCGATATTTTAAAATGTTTTTTCAAAATGCACAAAAATGCTGACTTACACAATAAAAGTGGGAGAGGGAGAGCAATCGATTTATGTGCAATAGTTTATAGTGTATACGCAATTTAAGTGCAACAAGAATGCAATATTAATGACCGATATAAATGCCAGACCTATGAACGCACTCGACTATCTGAAACTGCCAGCTCTGTCAGCCGTCAGTGCAAATATTTTGTGTAAAAACAATTTGCGCAAATTGCAAAACCGAATATGGGCCAAAAACACAAAACCAATTTGTCGTATTGTTTGTCAATGGCCATAGAACTCGAAATGGTTGCTGAGCCCTGCCAATGAATGATGCTAAGCCATTCATCTTTCTCAATGGATCGCTGCTGCTGTGTATTTGGGTCAATGGAAATAATAAAAACAAAAAAACAAAAACAAATTTTTCTGAAAATTTATGATATTTTTTAAGGTGCTCTCTATGCAATAAAATAGTTGAACTAAATTGTGTCCCCAATTTAATACCATTGCAGACATATTGCAAGTGTACAGTATTTTTCGATACTTATTCATAAAAGACGTGTTTTTACTCAAAGAAAATGCTTACCCTTTAAAATAACATAAAAAGACTTAAACAAACCTTGCCTATTATAAGAAAATGTTGTTAAATTGTGGCATTCCAATAAAAGAGTTGATATCTAATATGCACATACCCTAACGATGAATTATCATCTCTTATCGTTCTATTTTAGTTAATACTACAATGTTGTTTTGCAAGAAGTTTTTGTCATAAGAACTATAATAATATTTGGTTAAGCTTGCCTTCGAAGACTCATTGCAGCTCTGGTTGTCTTGATACACCCCTTTTTCTGCGATGGCTATCTTTATAGAGCGCTAACAGCCTGTTGCTAGCTTACCTTGAAAGAGTCGTTGATGTTGGCCGGAACCTCCGGCATGCACGGCAACAAGCCATCAATCAATCGATGGCCAGTCAAGTGTATAAATTTGTAGAAGATGCTTTAATTAAACCAAGCAAAGCCAATGCTGCATTATGCATTGCGGTTTGCGAATAAATCTTTTCGCGGCTCGACACGGGACGCATTCAAAATGCTAAATTAGTAAAATGTCACTTTCGCTTTTAAGTTGTTGCAAGTCGAAGGCGCGAGAATTTCTGCAGGGCAGGGAATTTTGTTGTTGTCGGTTGTGATCAAAGGGAAGCGCCGACAGAGGCGGCAACCACATAAATTATCGCTGGCTAAGCAGCCACAGACAGGAGCGGGGGCAAAGTGGAGCTGCCTGTTGCGAAATGCTGCACATGTGGCAAGCAAAGCATTGACATACTTCAAAGTGTTTGCTGACTGCATTGTTGTATAGCCAAAAGCAAAGGAGGGGAAGTCCACAGCAGATACCCTTGAACAAGTGAAGTGTCTGCTATTTAATTTTGGTTTTTATTCAGGTCTCCGATATGGCATGTTATAAATATTTGCAACGCATTGACAAAGTTGAAATGTATCCGCAACTGCAACTGCAACTACAACTGCAACTACAACTGAATCTGTATCTGCAACTGTGTTTAGTTGGCCAGAGGCGCCAGTGCGCATAAAATTAAATTCCTTATCGCTGGCGCCCTGCAAAATGTTTTCTCTCACTTTTTGCATCTTTTTAGCTGCTGCTGTCTGGCAATTTGCTTTTTGCGACAAAGCCAACAACAGCAACTGTTGCACGATGTGGATCCTGACCAGCCCCAACTGTGGCACACTGGAGCTAAAACGGACGCCGCATGGGTTTAAGTTTTAAAATTGAATTTTTATGCTTTGCCAAGAATTTAATTTAAATTTTCCCTGTTATAGGGATGCGAATAGTTACTAGCTGTTTAGGGAGAGTTACCACTAGAATCATTATATTATCTACAAATTGTTCACAATGAGGAAAATTAAGCAATATAAGCATTGGGTCGGTCCTGCCTAAGTTCACGTTAGTAAAAAATAAATGATATAAGATAATAATTCTTTTAAATTAGGAGGAGGATTAGAATTGGGCACGAGCTCATCAGCTTGTTGGCAGCTTGTGAGGAAATCTTTTATTAATCTTGTATCATTCAGTGAGCAAAATATAGTTTAGTCTGTCGCACCTAGTTGCAATGTTGTCATTGTATCTACCATATACTCTGTTGATGCAGGGAATAATTAACTTTTGTTTGTGTAAATGTTTTTCACAGACAGAAAATGTCATCTTCGAGTGTAGCTATACAATAGGTGTAGGCTTATCCAGTCATCTCTGAGGTAATTTTTGTTTTGGCTTGGAGGCATAGAATACTCTAAATAATAAACACAAATGGTACTTCCTCTGCCAAAAGACCACGAAGATGTAAAAAAAGGAGTAGGAATTATCATGATTAATATTTAGCAGCAAAAATCCATAGTATAAGACTAAACTGGGCATTTAATGATTACCTAAATAGCGCTCCAGAAAAAAAAATAAAGTGTAACATTGTGCTAAAACAGCTGGAATGTAGCCATACGCTTTTCATTTTTCTTAGTGAGTCCAATTTACTATTGAGCAGCACACAAGTACCACACCTTTTAGCTTGACTTCTAAATGTAAAGATAAGATAGCACATAGTATATACATACATATGTACCCACAGGCTCAAGTTCCTTACTGCAGTCACATATCGTAGTGCGACCACAAGCCAAATTTATTTATATTCAATTAATTAACTGCATCTAATAACTGCGCACACAAATATCAAACTTAAGCCAAACTCACATACGAATCCGCATCCGTTGGCGTTTGGCCAAAATACCAGAGCATTTGCAGTTTATCCCAGCGGCGATCTGCAGTACCAGCGTCTCTCTGGCCGGGTTGAGATTTAAACGATAAACGATTGGACGAAACTACCAATTGGAGCAGCGAATCCATATAGAGAATCATTCGCGCACTTGGCACACATTCTCAAACTGTTTGTGGCCACTTGGCAGACATTTCTGCCAATTGTATCGATAAATGTTGCAGCTGGCCCCTGCGGTCCTGGACTCTCTCCATGCTCTTCTGCATTGGCCAGGCTAATAAAACGTTTGCATGCATAAATCTTGAACTGTTTATTGGGCGAAACGAAATGTAGTTGCATGTTAATATGTATATCTGGTACTTGCAGCTGTATGCCATTTGTTGAATTGTTTCCCATTGAATTGTGTGCTAATGTTTGACAATTGTCTTGTGCTGAGAGGAAATCTCATGGAATTAGTCAAAGGAATCGATGATAAATGACAGAGATTTCTCTCTAATATAAATGTCACACTTTATATTATAGAACTCAGATGTTTTAAGATTAAATTACATGTAAGCTGTTATTAGAGCTATAGTATTACATGCTCCAAATCCATTACAGATCCAAATTATGTGTAAGTCATATTTAGTAGATTCCAATTTTGGGTAGAGTTCAAAAATCGATATTACATGGATAATAACTTATTAGTAGATTTTTTCTGCTTATAATAGTTTCATATAATCCTATAGTAAATCAATCAAAGAGTGAGCTTACTTAATTTTTTACAGATTTTTTAAGTGGCTTTTAAGAAAGAAAAAAAATGCGAAAACTTTGAGATAATAATTACACGCAAACCGCGCGAAATAGGGAAAAATCATTCAGCGGGAGGCGGCAGCATATCAAAAACTTTTGCGTAAAACCCATTTAAACTTTTCAACAACTCATGGCGAGCACTGCATGGGTGCAGTGCAGCAGCAGCAGCAGCAACAGCAGCCGCAGCCGAAGAGGAGCATCAACAGCAGCTGGCAAAGGCAAAAGCAATCTGCGCCCGACAACCAAACGTTTATTAAAATGGCAAAGACGACCCCCAAATGGATGGGAGTAGCTCTCGTTGAGCAGGCGACATGATGTACATGACGATGACGTTGGACGTTGGCCAGTTGAGTGACCAGCCGACGTAAGGCGAAACTTTTCCACGACACACTTGATGCTTGATTAAAGCTTCGAAATGTCT